AAATTTTGAATTATTTAATTCTGGAATAATTATATACGGTAATTTTGTTTCTTGTGTTACGTTTATTTCGAAGGTTTCGAACTGGTCGAGGCTTCTAAACGAAAATTTACATTTTCTAATTCGTTGTCATTGTCGGGTTCTGAATTATCGTAAAATGCGGGATAATTTTCTTGTGAAAATTGTAGATTGTCTGTACTGTCTTCAGTATCTACGTATTGAAAATATTGACCTGTATTTTCATCGTAAAATAAATTATCATTTGTGTCAAAATCTGATTGCACTGATTGGGTATCATTAGGAATTTCTACGTTATTTAACATATTTCTTGGTCTTTTTAATGGAAATTTCATTGCAGAGAATGAAGGATCTATATCCATCTTTTCTGGTTTTGGATAATTTTGTTTAAAAAATTGGTTTGATTGATTTTGGAATTGGTTTGGTTGATTTTGAAATTGTTTTGGTTGATTTTGAAAATTATTTGGAAATTGATTTCGTTGAAATACTGGTCTTATATTTTTTCCTGATTTTGTTAATTGATATGTTTTATTAAATCCTTGTGATGGATATTGTTGTTTAAAGTTAAATTGATTTGGTGTTCTAAAATTTTGTTGAAAATTAAAAGGTTTTTCGGATGGAATTCGTACTGGAATAAATAATGGCTTTTTATAATTAAAATTTTGATTTTGATTTTGTGATTGCATTCTTAAATTTCCTGGAATTTTTGGAATTGTTTTTGGTGAATTTAAAGAATTTAATTGGGATGGTTGTTTACAAAGATAGAGCCAATTTTGTCTTTCTAATACGAAAGACATAGCTTCTTCTAAACTTGTAGGGTTTTTATTATAACTTGTTTCGCCAAAACTTTCATTTTGCATTAAATTTCTCAAATAAGTTTTTAAAGCAGTTTGTTTATACATGTCTGATTTTAATGTATCGTCTAGATTTTCTAATTTAACTTTAGTTAATAACAAGTTTAATGATTCCCTAATTCTGTTTCCTAAGCTATATGGATTTTCGTCTTTAATTGGTGTGATGTGCATTAAGTCTGTTAAAAGACAATCTTCTGTTCTTTGATCGGAATAATTTAAATTTAAACAAATTTTGATTTCCTGCCATGTTCTGAGCTCTCGAGAAGCAATTAAAGCTTGTGCCTCATCTATAAATTTACCTTTGATAATTTTAATTATAAAAGAATTTATGGGATTATTTCGATCTGCTGTATCATAATAAGTTCTAATAAATTCTTCGACAGATTCGATAAAAATTGGTAAAACAATGGGGTTGCCATCAAAATTTGGTATGGCATTGACCTCTGTAGGTGTAATTGAAGCTCTTGTATAAGGCATTTCGGTATCAAAACGCAAATTTAGATTGTTTAAAGATTCAATTAATGACTCAATAGTGGAAAAAGTAAAGTACTTACAATGTAACGCCAATAATTAAGTTGTATAAAATGATTTTCATTGAAATTTGGAAGTTTTCTTTCTTCGGGATTTTTCTTTCTTCGGGTTTCCTTTCTTCGGGTTTTCTTAAAAACTAAGTTGTTTTCTTCTTTGCTTTCGTGTGTTCTTTCGTTTGTTCGGAGTTCACCGATTTGAGGTTTCTCCTGGGATGGGGTTTTTCGGATTTTCTTTACAGGAAATTTTATTACTGTTATCCTTTCTTTTTGATGCTGGGAAATTTTATCCACGGATCTGGGGGTTGTCGACAGTTCCAATTTGAGGTACTGTCTAGGTACTTCGTTGATACTTTTGTCGTTGAGGGCTGGAGTCAACGGCTTTGTTGGTTATCCACACTCAAACAGTTTTGTTAAAAATCGATTGAAGTCAAATCAAAACGATTTTCTCACTTCAAAACGATTACCGTGATCCTACTGACTGCGCCAGTGATGAGTTACAGCCGGGAGGTTTTATTTTTAAAAAATAACTTATTTATTTGTTTCGTAATCGCGTACACCAAAAGACCCTTATGAAGTTACCTTAATGAATATTGAATTAACAATGATTTTTATTATTCGGAAACGAACCTTATTTATACTCTTTTCTTATCTGTTTACAAAAAAGAAGTAATATGAGAAAGTTATTCATTATAAAAATACTATTCTACATCTTATTATTATTATTTGTTTATGACGGGGCACCTGCTACCACATAACTTATATAAACTTGCAACATGGATTCCTACAACATCAATCCTGATAATAAGGCGAATGCCAAGATTTGCGTTGACTTGTTGAATATTATAAGTGCAAAGGCTTTCACGGCCGCTGTTAATTAAATTAAAACTAAAACTAACACTAGCACTATCACTAGAACGAACAGTAGACCTAGAACTAGAAACTTTTGGGTTTTTTGAAAAAAAAATTTAACGGTTCGGATGCCATGTGTGGTTTTATAGTTCATTTTTTTTATAATACCTGTCAAATTGTTGTAAAGTTGGCAAAATTTACAGGGAGTTTTGTTTTATGATGTTCTGAAGTAAATATGTCACACTAACGTTTGAGCTTTCGTTATTCAAAAAGAAAAGGTGCATAAAAAATGTTGTGGGGTGTTTATTTGCCATTTATTTACCTAGAAAAGGTGTTTTGTTCTATTTAATTACTATGTAGCACGTTTTTACAATAATTCCTCGCATAACGAGCATAATTCGTTCCAGAATCTTACTCGTAATGAGAAATACTCGTTAAGCGAAACAATGTTTCTTATACATATAAATAAGGGACACGCGTAGGGGAAGTCCTACGCGTGTCACTCGTTATGCGAAATATCGGTCGTTAACCGAGACAATTTTTTTACTCGTTATGAGACGTACTCGTTAAGCAAGGTTCCACTGTACTTGGTTAAAATCGTATTTACCTAAACATTGATTACTATTTTGACCTCAACTAGTTACTTACTGAAAATGTTACTAAAAATCAGGAAAACAACATACATTTTATAACGGTCCTAGATAATACCGACAGAAACCCTAAAAAATTTACATTAACAAGTATTATAGAAAAAAAAACGAACTATAATGTCCGCAGAACGTGGTTAGTAAAAAAACAGCGAATTGTCTTTTTGAGTTTTTATTATTATCTCCTTAACTTTAACACAAGCTCGTATTCACTTATTCTATTTTGCTTATTTAACTACTTCTTGTTTACTTTAATTTACCATTGATATACATAAACTTCAACACTCACCCTCAATGGTAAATCCAACCAATATTTTATAATTTATTTAAGAAACAAACTTAATTCTAAATTAGCGATCTAACATAGAACTTAAACTAATTGTAACCCACATTTTAAACTAAAATTATTGAAAAATGTTACACATAATGGTTTGGTAAGGAAATCAGCTAGTTGCATGTTGGATGGTATGTATTTTAAAGTCAGAACATTTTCCTTAACCTTACTACGTATAAAATGAAAACGGATGTCTATATGTTTTAAACGTTTGTGAAACTCGGTTTTTTTTCATAAACGTTTTACTAAATATTCCTTGTTTACCTTTAGGATCCCACTTCAGTCTTATTTCTTAAGGAATATGTACAGACACATTACAGCCAAAAGGTTTAAAGTGTTGTATCTTTACTGTTTTGTTGTGCCACAGCTCATATGAGCTTTTCAATTTTTGGGAACTAGAATCTGTTCGATTTAATATGTAAGTAACGGTATTTACCGTTAATCGATCTTTTTGCTGTGTAACAAGGTTGTTGCTGCCTCAACTAGGATTCTAATTTCCCTTTCTGGCCTTCCATTTTGTTGAGGTGTGTAAGCTACGGATCTCTGATGTCTAATACCTTTTTGTTCTAAACTCTCTCAAATGTCTTTATTTCTAAACTCTAATCCATTATCTGTCCTCAAAACTTCATTTTATGACTTGTTTCTCGCTCAGATAGGTTTATAAATTTTTCAATACATGACTTTACTTCAGATTTCCATTTAAATAAAGTACACGTACCTGTATGAGGAATAATCGTTCTTCAGGAGAAAAAAGTAGAGAGCGCCTCCCAGGGATGGATTTTCCATTGGACCACAAACATCCGCGTGTACCAATTCTAATTGTAATGTAGCTCTTGATTCACTATTTTTAAAAGGTAACTTATGTTGTTTTCCAACCAGGCAGTCTTCACATACAAAATTTTTTCAGTATCTACAAATTCTATTTTATTTTTTCTCAAAAATTCCCTGACATGCCAAATATTCTGATGAGCCAATTTGCAATGCCAACCTTTTAATGTGTCTACTGTTTTTGCTTGCATACATTGTGATATCAGGCCATTTTTACGGTCAGAACAACTGTCTTCATTTTGATCTGTAGTGTCATTGTGTTCAGAAACAGTTATTTTTGCTATGGATTCTGTCGAATTTTCCAGTGTGAACATCATTTTATACAATTTGTTTTCTCTTATTGCTACAGCTCTAATATTACCACCTTTATCTATAAATTGCATCTCGTATCATTTGGAGTCATAAAGCATCCTTTGTCAAGTGCACACCCAGCGGAAAAAAGGTTAAATTTTAATTTTCGAATGTAGAGCACATTTGAGAGAGTTGTTTCAATCAGTTTCTTAACATTGTAGGCACCCTTTTCACCATTTCCTAACTGAATCATTTTCCTTATTTTTAATTGACTCCTGTCTTTAAAAAGGTTTCTGTTCCATGACATGTGTTCGCTCGCTCCTGAATCGAGACACCACTCCTTGCTTTTCATTTTATCTGTATACCATGAAGGCATTTGTCACATCTTTTTCCGAGATTAATTTTGATGAATTACCCTCACGTCCTTTGTTTTTAAACCAGCAACTCTGTACTGAATGGCCAGTTCTCTTGCATGCTTCACAGAACTTTTGACCTGTTCTTATATTTTTTGGTTCTACTTTATTTTTCTTTCTGTGAAAGCAGTTCTTTGCAATGTGGTTTGTCTTGGAGCAGATATAACACTGTTGTGGTGAATTATGGTTTTTTGAGCCTATCGATTTGGTTGCTAAAGCAGTAGTGTTATTTTCCAAGGGTTTAGACCTCTCTTCCTCCAACGACAGTCGTGAAGTGAGTTCTTCCAAATTTTGTTTATCCCCTGGCACAGATTCCCAAGCGGATCTAAAGTGTTTGAATTACCCCAGGAAGTGACATAAGAATTTTGGTCATTATCATTTTTTCTGAAAGTTCTTCGCCCATGGTTTTTATTTTTGTTTTTATATCTTCTACTTTTGATATAAACGTACTCACGGTACTGTTGAATTCGAGCATGGAGAATCTTTGCTGTAGGAGATGTACGCTAACAGCAGATTCCTTGTCATAGATGGCTTTTAGTTTTGTCCACATTTCCTTTGCTGTGCTACATGATAAAATATACGTCAATGGGTCTTGTTCCATTCTCGTAACAATTATTTGCTGAGCTTTGGCATCTTCCTCGATCCATTTTGTTAATTCCTCTCCGTTTGTTGGTTTTTGCTTTGATCCATCCACAATCTCAAAAAGACCACGACAGCCCATCTCCTTGTCGTAGACCCTCGTGGCTTTTAAATGTTCTTGATAGATCTCGAGGTAGTGTTAATAACTTTTTTGAAGGTATAATAATTATGAAGAACGAGATTAATAAAATCGATTTATTAGACGTAATTAGCAATTTAAGGGTAATGTTTTATGTTAACATTTCATTTTCTATAACTAAAAATATTTTCCTAAAACCCACCTCAACACAACATAAATAAAACACAGCTTAATCAACAGATCTAACAGATACAATCTGAAAAATAAATATGTCCATTAAAAAGTTATTCATAATTTAATTCTTCACAACTTACATTTTATTACGCAGTTTGTAAATAGAATAATTTTCTGAATGTTCCTTAAATAAGTATTTGGCCGATGTCTTACAATTATTAATATTGTAATTTTCAAATTCTATTCCTTGTAAACGAGCAAGCATAGGAAACATCTTCTTATCATTATCGTCAAGTTTTTCGTTTAATTGTATACAATTGGTGTTATCAAACGACCATGTATTTAGTGTAAAGCGTTGCAAAACATTCCAAGTCTGTAGCAATCGTTTCTGAATGGCAGTCAAGCTTTAATTCATAAAAAATAATTTATCTTACAATGATGTTTATCTATATTTATTTTATAGATACTTACAAAGGTTTCTGTAAAAATATAATCATTATAAAATCAATGGCCAGAGCTGGAATGATATGAAATAGAATCATATCGATCATGTATAGATAATAAGACTTTGTAGCAGTGAATTTGGGGTACCAGAAAACTAATTTAAATGGATGTTCCCGGTTATAATCTTCACACCTGTTGAAGTAATCTCTCCAAGTTGGGGTAGTAACGTTACCGATAGTTACGTTAAGCACACTTGGGGAATATCTGTATACAACATACAGTAGATAGATTGATTATTTTTTAAATATATCTTACACGTTTGAAGCCCGTTCGTATCCGCCAACAATTAAAGTATTTATAGCAACATCAACCGGTATCATTTGTGGGACACTTTTGTCATCAATTAGCGCTATTCTTAAAATTCCTTTTGCAACTGCGTAAAATAAGCTTACTGGTCCATTAAAACTATCCACCCAACCAGCAATAGGTTCTTTTAGTGAAGGCATAACTAAAACGGATTTTTTTTAATGTCATTTGAATGATACAATATTAGTGTGAAATGAAACGGAATTTTTGGAATAACAATCTTTGTATTTTTCCCTTATAAAGTTTGTATTCCAAGATTCTCGTTTATGCTTTAATGAAACGTTGTACCCTTACCAATAGATGGTCTTGTTATGATAATGGGAATTTTATCACCCATATCTTTCGCGATAAGTTCAGTAAGCCTTTTGGTGAAAGTGTAAGTATTGGGATGGGGTCCTAATAATCTAAAAACATTTTTTGTTTAATTTCTAATATTATTTTAAATATATGTGCATAAAAATTATGACTTTGTGTTGGGTTTGTCGTAGCCTATTCGTGAATCTTTGTCTTTAGGGAAGTTCTCAATCATAGACACTGTAATATCTAAGTCTCCAATTAGTCTCTCATTATCCGTAATACAGGTGAAAGGTTGACGCTCTCCTCTAAAAGAGAGCGTCAACCTTTTCCTCTTTCTCCTTTTTTATAAATCGGGCATATAATTCCACTACTAAGGAAATTTCTTGCAAAGTTTAATTTGAATCATTTATGGGTATGTAATTCTGCATTTTGGCTATACTAGTGGATATAAAGGGCGCAACTTTGTTGATTTCTGTAACATCTAAATCTACATTATCACCATAACATATACTCTACGTGTATTTGGTTGCCCATTCTTAAAAAAAGTGCTGTAATCTAAGCCCTACGTCCAAGTCTTATTTCGCATAGTTTCAAGCAATGACTCATTCGCGTTTCTCGTGGTAAGGACTATAACACAGTTCTTTGTTAAAATATGCTAGAGGAGAAAAAAGATTTCCCTTCCACATGTTCAATTCTTAAAATATTATCCGAAATCTGAGTTATATCGTGTAAGTATAGGATATGGGAAATATGTGCTGAGGTGAAATTAGAAGATATTCTGGAGTTTGTTCCTGTTTTATCTTTATGAGGTTTTTGAAGATTTAAGTTAAAATTGGGATGTAAAGCGGTAGTGATGCGTAATACATGACATCGTACCCAATTGATGTCAAGGCTCTCCTATCCAATCCCGACTCCCACCGCCTAGTTGGTGCTCTCTGGCAACCTGACCAACCTTGCGGAAGATTACAGCAACCAACCTCGGTAGAAAGCTGGGTCAGGAATAATGAAAGCGGGAGAAATATATAATACCAAGTATAATAGACCAAGTAATGACGTATAACTGTTTTGGGGTGGAAACGTCTAGCAACAGGCGGCTGATGGATGAAGTGAGGAATCAGGCAAAGAAGACAGCGAGAATATCAGGTTACCTAATAGATATAATATGGCGTAGAAAACAACATTCTGTACTCACATGTGCTGCCGAGACTGCAGCTGAAACGTCTGACACAAAAGCCATAATGATGACTACAGAAATGAGAACCTTAAAAGGTACAAAAGGCATTACAATCCTAGACAAAGTACGAAATATGAGAGATCTGAGAAGACGTGATGAGATGACAGAGAGCGTAACGTGAAGAAATTTGGGATACGGAGATTCCAAGTTTAACTAGTTACTTGCCAACGTTCACAATGTTGACAGATTTGCCGTTTTTAAGAGATTGTTAATCACTTATCATTTTTAAAAAATCAAAGAAAAAAAGTCAAGATATAAATAAAGGCATACAACAAGGGGACGTCATCATCAATCGTCGGTGTCAAGTCGATTCAGGTCAATCATCCTCAGGCACATAAAACAAGTTGTCGTCGTCGCGAGGTCCATCGCGATGTTACTTCAAGAGAGAAGAGAAACCACAAACGAAGATGATGGGTTCAGCCCAGCGATAAGCAAGAAAAAACGAAAAATACTACAAGAAGATCTAGAAATCGAAACAAGCGACAGATATGCCCAACTGAGCGACCACGAAGAAGACAACATGGAAGAAGAAGGACACGACGAGGGTCTCTTCCTCCTATAAGACGAACAAAGAGAGCAGAGGCCAAAAAATAAACTAGAACCAACACACCAAATAGAAAAAAAAATGGCAACAGCCGTCGCAATAAAGAAATCGAGAGTAGCACCGTTAGTTCTAACGCAAAAAAGAAATGGAATCACGTGAGCCAACAAGAAAATAAACTACGTAAAAGCAAAACTGGTTGCACAGGGAATAAACATAGAACCCATAACCGACGATGATTACAGACAGCTCAAAAAACTATTAGAAGATGAGCAAATTCAGTTCTACACATACGACTTAAGGTCAGAAAAAAAGCTGAAGATGGTAATTAGGGGAGTCATGCACGAGATGATCCTAGAGGAAGCAGAAATAGACCTAATGGCACAAGGATACCCAATAACAAAAGTTACCCGCACTAATGGCAAACAGGGTAAACCAGCGCCAATAATTCTGAATGTCAGCGAACACACTTCGGCGGTCTTTCTGGATATTGAGAAAGCTTTTGATAAAGTCTGGCACGCAGACCTAATCTATAAAATGAAGAAAGCAAACGTACCACCAAGAGTAACTAAAATCATAAGGTCATACCTTCAAAACAGAAAATTCCACGTCAAAATAGAGAATACAATTTCGGAAGGAACAGATGTAGAGACCAGAGTCCCACAAGGCTCCGTTCTGGGCCCAATGCTATACAACATCTATATTTCGGATATTCCAACGCCGACCAACACCGTTTGCAGACGATAACGTAATATACACCACGGGCAGGATGAAATCATTCATTAAAAAACGACTACAAGAAGCCACTGATACCATCATGAAATACATGAATACATGGAGGATCAGAGCAAACGAAGAAAAAACAGAAGCAGTCATGTTCATACAAGGTCACCAAAAAACCCAACCCCGAAAAAATCAAAATAAACGGAAAAGAAAGAGAGTGGAAAAGGCATGCTAAATATCTAGGCATCATACTAGACGAAAAACTAAACTTAAACACATCGAAGAAACAAAAAAAAAGTAAGAGGATTAGCAACACAACTCTACCCAATCATTAACAGATGCAGTAAATTTAACATAGAGAACAGAATAAATATTTTCAAAGCAATCATCCTACCAGCGGCCATCTACAGGGGAGCGATATGGAACATAGCCAGCAAAAGCGGATTAAACCAACTACAACGAAAGCTTAACAAGATTCTAAGAATGACAATGCAGAGAGATACGTCAGCAATACTGAACTAAAAAAGGAAGCTAACATTAAAGACATGGTAACCTTCATAGAGGAGACTACCGATAAATAAATCAAAAAAATGAAACACCACTACAACCCAGAGATACAAAAAGCAACTCAAACAAACCCAGAAAAACAGACAAAAGAGCCACAGTAATGACGAAACGCAAGAGGGAATCCGAAAACATCGGCTTCAAACCCAAACGACAAAAGACAAAAAAATGAACCAACACAAAGAAAAGAAAGAAACCCCACATCAGGTGGATCACCCAATCATTCAAAAAAAATTGAAACAAAAAACAACAAAAATGGAAAACAAAGACGAACGGGCAAAAGAGTCAAAACTCGACCCCGAATCAAAAATGAGTTTCAGCCAAGGGCACGGACTTGCTCCGACAAGGTTTAACTTGACCCTTGAATACGTCATACGCCATATAAATGTCGGAAAAACAAACTCACTAATAAATTAATCCGTACAAATTACAGCAATGTTCCAATGTGGGTCGGACGCGTCAGGTCTAGCATCAAAATGGTTGGAGTTTGTTCGAAAACTATAAGCCTAAATCTGTTTGACGAAACCCTTAACGGGGAACGGTTTTTGGAATATTTAAATGTATTCCTTGCCTACTTTGCTGATAAGAATTGTTTCCCAAACCTCTCGGTCTTACCGCTCCGTACCCTTGTCAGTATACCCGGTATAGAAGGATCGAAGGAACCAATATACAACATAGAATAAGGACCGTGTACAGAAGCTACTTTGCCCTATCAAATGTAGTTCATTCCAAAAGTGTGCATAGACATTCAAAAATTAGACTCTATAAAACCATCATTAGAACTATACGGTGCTATGGATGCGAGATATCGATTATGACAGAGAGCGGAAAGAATAAGCTGGAAGTATTTGAAAGAAAAATTCTGAACAAAATATTTGGTCCAATAGCAGAGAATGAGATATGGAGAAAGCGATAGAACGTGGAAGTTAACCATCTGTTCAAGGAAGCCCTGTCTCAGTATTCATCAGGTTGTAAAGTGTGAAATGGGGTGGTCATGAAATACAAATGAGCGAGAATAGGAATAGAATCCCTAAGAGGTTCTTAAGTACCAGAATGCAAAGCAAGAGACTAAGAAGGATGTCAAGAAAACGATGGGAGGGCGCACAACGATTTATGAGCGTCACGACGTGGAAGAAAGTAGCTCTTGACCGGGAGTATTTTAGGCAAAAGATAAAGGAGGCCAAGAGTCAATTTGGGCTGTAACGCCTATGGTGAGAGTAGGGCTTGCAATACGGACCAAAATCTCAATACCGGTATTCGGTATTCAAAATTTTTAAAACCGGTATACCGGTATTACTATAAAAAAATTTACTCACTAAATAGGGTAAAACGCCAGTAATTGACCGTTGATCAGTGTTTGAACGTTTTTGTAAAAAAATGTAAAAAATAAGAGATTCCTTGGAATATCTGAAAAAATGTAAATATATCCATAAATAGCCACCAGTCTCCTCTGCACTCCCTAGTACACAAAAAGTCCACGACCATACCGTTCTTGAGTTTTTGTTGTTTAATTTCGCGCTAACTGCCGGCCTATTCGCATCGTGCTAAAAAGCGTAATTTTTATGTTTAGAAATTCGCCCAAACAGGATAGTACTATTCAGCCGTACTTGCATGTATAATGTTTTTTTTTGTTTGCCAGTGATCTAATAATGTTTTCTATTGGTTATATTAAAAAAATACCGCTTTAATTAATTGTTTGTTGAAATAAAGCTGATCAATGACTGGTAGTTGTAAATTTAATTAAAATTTAGTGTTTGACCAAACGGTCAAATACTAGACGAATTTGTTGTTTTATAATCTCACAAGGATTTAAATTTAATTAATAAAATGGAAAAATGTGTAATACCTGTTTTTAAAACTTATATCTTCCCGTTTAAGTTGTTTAGTATTTGACCAAAACTTTTATACATTAAAAGTGAGATACAATCAGTTTAAATATGCGGTCAATTACTGGTTCCTCTTTTGGTCATTTATAGGACACAAACACTCAAAACTGAGTTTTTTAACCGATTTTAAATTTTATAAATATTTAAGCGTAATATAAATATAAGTGTAAGTGTTTGATTCTTATCTATTTTTTTAAACCTTTTTTATAACAATAAAAGTAATTGACCGCACTTAAGCAGTAATGAGTCTGTAAAATTAAAAGGATAAAAGGTTGGTCAAACGCTGACTCTTACAGTGGCCAATTATCAAAAAATGGAAAATCTATATGGAAAATTTAGCAAATATGAATCAGGTTAACATTTCTTTTGTACAAATATGACAACGAAGCCTAAGATTAAAAATAGTGAAGAAAGTCTTCAAAAGACTCTCGATGTAAGAAGTAGGGATTTATCTTATGAAAAAGCAGCCAAGATGTTTAACGTTCCAAAGTAAAATCTTATTTATAAAGAAAAAGGAAAAACACCAGTGCAGAGGAAAATGGACCCAGCAGCATTTTTAAATTGTGATGAAGAAAAACTGCTGGTTGAATGGTTGTTTCATTCAGCAAATAGGGGTTCTCCTGTTTCAAAAACCAAGTTGGAAAACACAAAATTTGGGTGAAAAGTTAAGTCAAGAGCATTTTGTTCCTGTTTTAAAAGATGTTCTTAAAGAGTCAAAAAATATAAACATTTTTTTGTGAACAAAATAGTATGAAAAAATAATTAAAATGAATATTATATTAAGAATCGGTCAAATATTGACGGTTTTAAGGTCAAAGACTAGATATTATTGGTCCAGTAATGTAATCAAAGTGGTCAAACACTAAATGCGAAATACTGGTTTATTTTTTAATTTTAAAAAAATATTACTTCGTGATGTTATATTTTATATGTAGGGTAACTTTAAATGAATCAAATGTGTATTTGATTTTTTTTTTTGATCATTTTATGTAAAGGCAGAGGGATCTACAAGAAAAATAATATGACTCGGTCAAACATTGACATTAAAAAATCCTTAACAGGTCAAACACTGGTGCGTTTACCCTATATCTAATTGTAAGAACTTTTCCCCTCTGCGGCGTCATCTCTACTAACAACAGGTTAATTCCTACTATATTTTTAGATTGGCAACATAGCATAAGATGGAAAGATACTAGGAATCTGTACAAAGTGCCAATAATCTTAAAGGTCACTTCACTGTCGCGTCAAAAAATGAAATTACACTTCATCATCTGAAGCTCTGTGGAATTCTTTCGAATTCCTGTTTTGGAATTTTCTGGAAAGGTGCAGATTCAAGAAAGAACCTTTAACATAATGGCTCTTGGTAGTTTGTCAGACTTATCATACTACTGTTATACTTCGTGGGACATTACACGAATCAAACTGACCTGAAACACCATTATGGAGTAAAAACTCCAAAAATAGTTGTATGCAGAGACTATTTTATTGTTGGTTAGGTATGACAAATTTATTGTACACGAACATTAAGTTGTCGTCATCAAAGGTTGAGTTTTCGTTATCTTCAACATTCTGTCAGAGTACAAAATGATATTTCTTGTAGATGGTGTTCCCACTGATCAAAAAATGTCACTTGAAAAAATGAGGTTAGTACGGACATAAGATAGTTAACAAATTTCTCTACGTCATTTTCCAGCACAACATCAAACTAGCACGGCGGTTTTCGAAGACATCGGCCGCCCCCGGCCATCGAGGGCGCTAAATAAAAATAATACCGAAATACCGGTATTTTGCCATCAATACTTTTGGTTTATAATACCGGACAAAAACTGTCCGGGATCCCGGTTTTCGGGATCCCGGGATGCCGGTATCGCAAGCTCTAGGTGAGAGAGAAAGACAATAGAATGAATAATACAAAACAGTTTTATCACAAAATAAGGAATCAAAGGCAAAAAAGAGAAGCGCAGCATACATTGGCAGACCATTTGGCAGTTTTCTAAACACAAACGCTTTTTGCATATTTTGTAAGCATTTAGTGAAACGTTTTGTTTTATTGAGTTTGCAAGATAAATCTTTTCCTTCTCTAGCTATCAACTTCTAAAGTAAGCACTGAGTTTGATTAATTTTCTTCTTCACATTCTTTTAGGTCTTTTATCACATTTGTCATGTGTTTGATCATTTTTTTCTTCATATTTGATCGGAATGTTTCGCACAATTTATCATTTATATCAATACTTATTTCCTGTGGGTGTAATAGGTTATGATTTCTTGTTTTATTTTATCTCCTTTGATGAATCAATTATTTGATCACGACGCATGCCAGAAAAAAGAATTACATTTCTTTATTCTTTGGTACATAGAAAACAAGAGTGAACTTTCTCCAAATTATGGTTTAAAACGCGTCATTTTCAATAAAGAAATAAAGCCATACAAAATAATACAATACTTACCTAGTTTATTTTTTGAAATAAGCAAATACATACTTTTTTGTAATCGCAACTAAAGATTTCTCATCCATCCATTTAACAAGATCCATAATTTTATAAGGATCAACATCCATAGGATAAATTTTCTCTTCCATGTAATCAATTTCAACGTTACAAAAAGCTGTAGATACGTGGACAAACGCCTAAAATATTTTTTTTAAATAATATCTCCATATTATGCCTTTATAGTACTACTTACTTGTAATATTTTCATATTCATGCATAATTTAAATAGTTGATACGTCGATGTAGTATTAGTTATTACGGCTTCTTTTAGCGGAAGATCCATACGAATAGAAGCGGCAACATGAAATACAATCGATACTTCCTCAATTAACTTTTTCTTGTCGATTTCGGACAGATTCAAATTTTCCATCATAATATCGCCACTTATTGCCTCGATTTTATCGTAAGCTATTGCGTTCATGTTATGAAATGTAAATACCTTTAAAATTTAATTTTTTTAACTTATTACATCATTTGGAAATTAATAACTTACGGCGCCATTCGTTAATTGCTTAACTCTTTCTTGCGGATTACATCCTTTTTTGGAACGTATAAGAATGTAGATTTTTTTTATATCCGGGAAACTTCGCACTAACTTTTCCAGCAAAACTTTACCCATGAATCCAGTTGCGCCGGTTATTAAAACCGTTTTTCCGGTATAAAATTCAGTAATTGGACTCATTTCGCGGAAATGACAATCTATAAAAGAATGTAATAAGACAATGAAGGAAGTTGCAATGTTTTGAACTCTTTATATTAATATTTGGATATGGAAATGTATTTATGCATCTTATAATTACGTATGTAACGAATAAATTATGAGAACAATAAGAATGTTGACAATACATGACTCGCAATTTTGAAGGATGTTCAATATTTTAATAAATTATTTAAATTATAACACATTTTTGTAAATTATTGCTATCTGAAAAAAATATTTATATTATTACGACTCTCGATTTTGTTAATGAAGAAATTAAACGACTTCTTCTCAATATTATTGTTTTTCAGACACTATCTGGAAATGGCCTATATTTCCTTATTACAAATCGTAAAGAAAAGTATCTCATTTCTTTATAGCAACCATTTCTNTTGTTGGTTAGGTATGACAAATTTATTGTACACGAACATTAAGTTGTCGTCATCAAAGGTTGAGTTTTCGTTATCTTCAACATTCTGTCAGAGTACAAAATGATATTTCTTGTAGATGGTGTTCCCACTGATCAAAAAATGTCACTTGAAAAAATGAGGTTAGTACGGACATAAGATAGTTAACAAATTTCTCTACGTCATTTTCCAGCACAACATCAAACTAGCACGGCGGTTTTCGAAGACATCGGCCGCCCCCGGCCATCGAGGGCGCTAAATAAAAATAATACCGAAATACCGGTATTTTGCCATCAATACTTTTGGTTTATAATACCGGACAAAAACTGTCCGGGATCCCGGTTTTCGGGATCCCGGGATGCCGGTATCGCAAGCTCTAGGTGAGAGAGAAAGACAATAGAATGAATAATACAAAACAGTTTTATCACAAAATAAGGAATCAAAGGCAAAAAAGAGAAGCGCAGCATACATTGGCAGACCATTTGGCAGTTTTCTAAACACAAACGCTTTTTGCATATTTTGTAAGCATTTAGTGAAACGTTTTGTTTTATTGAGTTTGCAAGATAAATCTTTTCCTTCTCTAGCTATCAACTTCTAAAGTAAGCACTGAGTTTGATTAATTTTCTTCTTCACATTCTTTTAGGTCTTTTATCACATTTGTCATGTGTTTGATCATTTTTTTCTTCATATTTGATCGGAATGTTTCGCACAATTTATCATTTATATCAATACTTATTTCCTGTGGGTGTAATAGGTTATGATTTCTTGTTTTATTTTATCTCCTTTGATGAATCAATTATTTGATCACGACGCATGCCAGAAAAAAGAATTACATTTCTTTATTCTTTGGTACATAGAAAACAAGAGTGAACTTTCTCCAAATTATGGTTTAAAACGCGTCATTTTCAATAAAGAAATAAAGCCATACAAAATAATACAATACTTACCTAGTTTATTTTTTGAAATAAGCAAATACATACTTTTTTGTAATCGCAACTAAAGATTTCTCATCCATCCATTTAACAAGATCCATAATTTTATAAGGATCAACATCCATAGGATAAATTTTCTCTTCCATGTAATCAATTTCAACGTTACAAAAAGCTGTAGATACGTGGACAAACGCCTAAAATATTTTTTTTAAATAATATCTCCATATTATGCCTTTATAGTACTACTTACTTGTAATATTTTCATATTCATGCATAATTTAAATAGTTGATACGTCGATGTAGTATTAGTTATTACGGCTTCTTTTAGCGGAAGATCCATACGAATAGAAGCGGCAACATGAAATACAATCGATACTTCCTCAATTAACTTTTTCTTGTCGATTTCGGACAGATTCAAATTTTCCATCATAATATCGCCACTTATTGCCTCGATTTTATCGTAAGCTATTGCGTTCATGTTATGAAATGTAAATACCTTTAAAATTTAATTTTTTTAACTTATTACATCATTTGGAAATTAATAACTTACGGCGCCATTCGTTAATTGCTTAACTCTTTCTTGCGGATTACATCCTTTTTTGGAACGTATAAGAATGTAGATTTTTTTTATATCCGGGAAACTTCGCACTAACTTTTCCAGCAAAACTTTACCCATGAATCCAGTTGCGCCGGTTATTAAAACCGTTTTTCCGGTATAAAATTCAGTAATTGGACTCATTTCGCGGAAATGACAATCTATAAAAGAATGTAATAAGACAATGAAGGAAGTTGCAATGTTTTGAACTCTTTATATTAATATTTGGATATGGAAATGTATTTATGCATCTTATAATTACGTATGTAACGAATAAATTATGAGAACAATAAGAATGTTGACAATACATGACTCGCAATTTTGAAGGATGTTCAATATTTTAATAAATTATTTAAATTATAACACATTTTTGTAAATTATTGCTATCTGAAAAAAATATTTATATTATTACGACTCTCGATTTTGTTAATGAAGAAATTAAACGACTTCTTCTCAATATTATTGTTTTTCAGACACTATCTGGAAATGGCCTATTATTATTACAAATCGTAAAGAAAAGTACCTCATTTCTTTATAGTAACCAAATAAACAATGAATTATTTATTAGAATAAATATTAAACGTACAATTGTTAAGGATAGAAAAGCTTATACTTGATGTACACTGTTGTAACTGTAAATCACCACATGTTAGTGACGTTTTTGATAACACCTCCTGATGAACCACTACTTTATTTTTTTTGTTTGGTTGCTGTAGTGAGGGAAACGGCAGAAACGACAATTTGATTCTTGAGCTCGTCGTGTACTTTTTAAATAATTTCTTATAAAATGTAGGTAATTCATTTAAATTGAGTGTCCGAAAAAACTTCATGTATTATTCTTAATGAAAAGTAACTTCTTCTTTACTCATCGCGTGTCGGCTTCGCCTCGATTAGAAAATTCGCGATTCGTAAAGAAAAAAGTATACTTTCTTTACTTATAATACAAATAACTATTATTAACAATTTTTATTAATTACAAATCACTATCAATCTTTTTATTGACTTGCCAATTTATTTATTATTTTAGTTGTTATTTTGTTTTATATAAATATCCGTAGTCGTAGCCCACTTTTTACTACGTTTGTATATAATTATTTTAATAAAACCGAAAATTTAGGGCCCTCATTGCTTCGTAAAGATCTTGAGAAGTTAGGAAATGCCTTATGGTCTTTGATAAAAGAGAAACCCGAACCTGTAGAACCATTAGAGGTTAGAGACTACTATGTTTATATTCAGAGACAACCTCGTGGCTATGTTCAAAACGCGAACTCCTGCTACCAACAAAAACTCTGCATATGACCCGAATCTATACCACGACTACCCAAGTACATGTATCCAGGAAACTATCCATACGAACTCCAAAACCCTGCAAAACGACGAAGCAGCTACGTCTAATTCGATTTGTGGGAAAGACCACGAAATACTCGATCAAAGATAGATCTAAACAATATCAATTTAATTAACTCGCTACACTTTATACAATCAAGAAACCCACCCGTGAAATTGCTAATAGACACCGGATGCGACTAACTTTGTTTTTCTATTTACTTTACAAGCCAATATCTTCGTTATCGTTAGAAATAGCGGAATTTTAAATACACCAGTAGAAAGCCGGATCTGCCCTTCGCCTAAAACCGGGTTTTGTCCTGTCGCTATCGTGATATCTTTTTGTAGTATAGTTCTTTTGTAGTAAATAAATACTCAATTTCCTTATTATTTGCCTTATATTTCCGAAAAACACTCTACATTTTCTCTATATATTTTGTCAATGACATTTTACGATTATTGGCGGAACCTTCTTAACCTAACCTTCAATATGTCACTACTCACGCCATCTTTTGTTTCTTCCTTATACTACACTTTCCCCTTTCTTATTCCTAACCATTGAGGTCTTATATATATTTTTTGGTGATTTTCTTTCCATTTTATGTGTGTAAATTAAACTTCGGTTTTTGCACTTTAATCGTGTGTAATTAAAGTGCAAAAACCGAAGTTTAATTTACACACATAAAATGGAAAGAAAATCACCAAAAAATATTAATAAGGTTAGTACGACCCATTTCTACGAATACAAAAGATACAAATATAGATTATTACAACAACTACAACATATTCATTTTCTTAAGACATGTATAGAAGAAAGATTAAGCCCAAATTTTTTGAAACATAAATATCCAAAAATTTTAACAGAGAAAACAATTGAAAAAATAAAATCAAGAGAAATCAGAAGAGAAATCAAAAAACACTATAGAAAAATAAATGGATTCAACATAAAAATATACTATTATTACCAGGAATTCACCACTAAACTGCATCACCTGGAAATAGAAGAAATACTGACGAAAATTAAGGAAACACTAGATTCTACACTAACAAGAGAATGGGAAAGAAAAGAAAAGAAATTGAACCAACTTCGTAAAGAAAAAGAAACGAAGAAAGAGAAAAAAGTAAACAATACCAACCTACATAAATTTCATGACCGAGTTACTAATCTTTCGAACATTAATTTTAACACCGAAGAAATGAAACTTCTTGACAAAGGTATTCAATATTCCATAGTAAATACACCAAACCTAAGAAAAGTGGCATTGGAAATGGAAGCTGTAACAAAAGGAATGAAAGAGGAAGAGGAAATAAGAAAAAATATACAACAACTTCTAATACGAGAAGACACAAAGAAGAAGAACAAGAACAATGAACAGAAGATCAAAGAAAAACAAAGAAGAGAGGTAAAACTGATAGAGTCAATAAAGAAGAAAATAAAAGAAAACGACCTAATCTTCACCAAGGCGGACAAAAACGCAGGTTTGGTAATACTAAGCAAGGCTGAATACGTTAACAAAACAGAAAAATTCCTCACAGACAATAACTATAAAAAAGTTTTGAAAAATCCTAACAACCATTTTCACCTAAACGTCAAAAAAATTATCAATGAAGTTAAAGACACCAATAAAAAATTCAATATTAGCACAAAACAAATAATTCCCATGAACCCAAAAATACCTAGATTGTACGCCCTCATAAAGTTACACAAGATAAACCGCCCAATAAGACCCATAATAGCTTCCACAGATGCCAGTACATATAAGATTTCAAAATTTTTAGTACAGTTTTTTAGAAATAACATAGACTTCAAACCTAATTATACAATTAACGATAGAAGACAAATAATACAAAAACTAACAGGCATGAGACTACCGAATGAAAACACTATAATATCCTTTGATGTGGTGAACCTTTACACTAATATCCCCACCAAACAAACTTTGAAAATTGTCGAAAACATTCTAAATTCACAGTTAGATGAAAATGATAGCAAAAACATTTTTAAATTATTCCAGATATGCTTACAACAAAACTTCTTTAATTTTCAAAATGAAACATATACGTACCAAGAAGGACTCCCCATGGGATCTT